GTGACATGATCAGGCCTACATTTTCAGAAGATCACTTTGGTAGCTGAGTGGAGGATAGTCTGAAATGGAGAGAGACTTGAGGCAAAGGACCAACTAGCAGTCTATTACAATATTCTAAGCATTAGGTGATGAGGTCCTGGGCTTCGTGGCTTTGAGAGGTGAGGGGGTATTATACTTTAATTACTGTAAAACTAGAAATGATGAGACCTGATAAAGGAATAGATATATGTGAGGAGGGACAGTATAAGTAAGGAATCTATAATAATATATTTATGCATGTGTATTAATGTTAATACAGAAAAATTCCTTTTTCTTATAGCAACTTGTCAATGTATTTATATCCTTAATTTACTGATGTGAAATATATGTATTACTGTGTGCATATTTACAAATATGGGTAGTTAGGTGGCACAATGGATAGAGTACCAGGCCTGGAGTCAGGAAGATCTAAGATCAAATCTGATCTCAGACAGTTACTAGTTGTGTGATACTGGGCAAGTCATTTAACTGCTTGCCTCAGTTTCCTCATCTATAAAATGAGCTGGAGAAGAAAATGACAAACCACTCTGGTATCTTTGCCAAGAAAACCTAAATGTGGTCATGAAGAGTCAGACATGACTGAAATGACTAAAAAACAAATATATATATATATATATATGTGTGTGTGTGTATGTGCGCATGTATATATATATGTATATATTTATGTACACTAATATATTTCAAGCACATTGTCAAACAATCATTTATTTTTCTAAGTAAGATGATCAGTCTATATTAAATACTTTAGTGCCCATTAGTAAATAATTATGACATCTATAAGTATATTTCAACATTTCACTTTCAAGTTTATCTTAGCTGGGATCTAAGGAGATCCACTATACTAAGATCTGTGTTGTAGACTGAATACTCTTTATAATAATAAAATTGATATTTATGTGGCATATTATAGTTAAAAAATTACTTTACTTTAACAATATAAATAATAATATAGGGTAATATATGATGGTAATAAGTATTGTCCTCATCAACATAAGAAGAAATTGAGGTGAAGTTATCTTATGCAAGGTCATGCAATCAGATGTTACTGCTACAACACAAACTTACTGCACGTCTTCACATTTGAAATCTTGTCTTCTTTCCATTTTATCTTTCTTCCTTTCACCAAGAAAGCAATTTCTCCTCCCTGAAGTACAACCAGCTTTCAGATTCACCATTTTGTTCTTTGCTACAGACTTAAGCTGGTGTTGGGTCTTTAGATCTTTTAGAGTTCTAGATATGGCAAAAGATAAGCATGGCTTATTGCATATTACAGAGAGAGAAAGAAAAAGAAAAAGAGAAAAAAATAGCTTGTAGCTTAAGCCCTGCTAACCACTGTTGATAGCATCAACCTTTGGAGAAAGAGTGGTTAAGTGACAATCAATAAGCCTTTCCTTAGGATGTAGGTTTAAATTGGGAGAGGAATCAAATGGGATGACTATGGTTTGTTTTGCTCTTTATCACATGGGTATTTAATCTAGTTTCTATCCTTTGTCTCAAATGTATAAAGGGCCTCAGGCTGGTAGTACATTTTTTGGCCTATTCCATATATATCATTTTTTGAGGCATAGTTACATGACTTAAAAGCACATATAAACAAGCTATCTAAATACCAGTATGAAACACATTCATATTGGTTTATAGGAATTATCAATCCAACAAGCATTTCTTGAATACTATGCTTTGTTGAATACACAAATTGTACAGAAAAAAAGACTGAAACATAAAAATAAATAAATATATTTATTTAAATATTTATATGAATATTTAAATTTATTTAAATATTTATATAAATATTTAAAATAAATAAATGAAAATAAGAAATGCATATACCTTTTTATGGTCTTTAAAGTCTGTGCTGTTAATATTACAAAGGTAGAGTGTTGGCAGGGCTAAGAAAAAGGAAATTCTTAACAACCATCTATAAAGTATCTCCATATAAGATGACTACATGCCTAAGAAAAAAAATGAAAATAGTGATTTTTTTCCCATGAAAGTTTAATCAGTATTGTGGAAATAATTACAGCTCTGATTTCCTGTCTGTGTGACTTTAAGCATGTCAGTTACCCTCTGAGTTTCCTGTGTGAAATAAAGGTGATCAGCTAGAGTATAGGATCATTGATTTAGAAATTGAAGGGACCTCAAGGGTCATATGAGATGACTACTGAGATGCCTTCTAAAGTTTGTTTCAATTAAATATCATCTAATCTGAGTCAATTAGAATAGAATAGGGAAAAGAACCAGGCTTATGATTTCATTAGCATAAGGAGTTTCTAGATGAAGAAATTCCTTCTACCAATACAGATTAGCACCTTTTTCATTTTAGAGAGTTGCTTAAAGGACTGATAGTTTGACTGACTTAGTGAAGGTCACACAACCAGCATGTTTCTGACATGAGACTAGTGACTAGGCGCTGAGGTCAGCTCTATATGCCTTATTGCCTCATAGGGAAAAATATCAATCAAATCCAATTCAACAAACATTTATTAAGCTCCCTCTTTGAGCTAGGCAGTAATTAGGACCAATACAAATAAGTAAAAATAAATCAGGAAAGTTAAAATAATCTGAAGAGAATCATTTTACATTTATTTATGCATTTCTACACTCCATATAATAGGTCTTAAGAAATCCATATTCACTGCAACATCTACACATAGTAGCAAAAGTTACAGAAGATTTTATGGTTTCATTGAGCCTCAAAATAATCCTGTGAGGTCAGTATACTACAAGTCTTTTTTTTTTCTCCGTTTTATATCAGAGAGAACTAAGACACCAAAAAGGTCAATGATTTGCTCAGGCACACAGCCAGGAAGTGCAAGAGGTAGTACTTGATACAAGATTATGAGGTGTTTTCTGATAAAATTGTGTAAAGACTGGTTTAAATGTTAAGTGTATCATACTCTAATTCATTGAGAAATTGGCAGCCCATGCTGCAAATATCTCTTAAGCAATTTGTTTGATTAAATAGAAATCCTATTCTTTCCTCCTGACAAGTAACAGAGTTTGCTACATATGCTGTCCTGTATCTTTTTACAAAATAGAGAGGATGGAGATGGTTTGGAAATACACCATAGGCACGTTAGACAGGTGTCTAGGGGATTCTGAATTTAGCACATGCCTAAGGGCTCCTCAAGTTAGCATAGACAAAGAGGTGAGGAAGCTTGTAAAAACCCTGATGCCTGGAGTAGGGTTGAAACTGAGAAAAAAAAATAGTAATTAAGGAAAAAAAAACCGATTCCAGTCAAATAAACTGATAACTTTTGGAAATTTAATCATGCCAGGATAGAACTCTCTATTATATTAACCACACATTTAAATGTAAACATATATTAACAAATACTGTAGAAACAATATTTCCATTTGACACAGAATTTTCACCAACACCAAAGGATTTCAATGTTAATTATAATTCACAGGGATATACACAAGAGTGGAAGTATTCTACAAGCATTTTCCCACTAATTCTGCACAGTAATAAATTCTACACATTAATAAAGAGTGGTATGATCAACAAAAATTCTCAGATAAGCTTATAAATTAATAGTATGCACCAATTATTTGCATCGATTATCAATTGATAAAATGGGGTAGGGATAGTAGAACAGATTAAAAATTATTGACATTGACTTAATGATAGTATAATTATTTGATATTTATTATTATTTGATAATTATTTGATTGATGATAATTCAAAGAAAAGGTTACAAGTTATTTTCCATAATAAGCCCCAGCATATCTAGAAATATGCTGATTTCCAAGAACGGTGGTTTAAGAATGCTGGTTTCCAAGCCAACAAATCTAATGTGCTGGAATGAATAAAAATTGAAAATACTAAGGTTCTAATTCTGTTAACAATTGGTTAGGATGTAAATTATGAATATTACTTATTTTTTGCTTTATGATTCTTTGGCCTCAATATTCTGCTCCATTAAAAAGAGATTCTTAGAAGTTAGAAATTGTGTAGCTTTTCTGATGATCTTTTGTTATAATGAGCACAGAAATTGTGTTTTTGTTTAATGCAAGTAAATTACATTGTCAGCTGTGTGAATATTTGATAGATATAATAATTTATATATAAATATATACATTCATGTATGATACTATATTAATCACATTTAGTTCATTTACAATAAAAGACCATGTGAATTATTTATGATGTTATTGTAGATATATGTAAGATTTAGAACCTTTATCATATCTTTACTAAATAAAATAGGTAACAGTAATTGATTCAAAAGAAAATAATCCCATAGTATTATAATTTTATACTTTATACAAATGACTTAACATCATATCGGGATGATTTTATTTAATAATTTTATTATCATATTATATAAACAAATCACATAAAATAATTTTAATAAGTTGGTATACTTATTTTTATATATCACAACTTCAATTTAATAATACTTGATCTCTTTAGCTCCAGGATTATGAATCAGTAGTATTGGGAAAAAGTTGTATAAAAAAAAACAACTAACTGTAAATATTTACAAAATATTTGTTATTTCTTCTAATAGTTTCCATAATAAACATCTTTTGCTGATGAAATTGGTTGTCTGTTATAAAGAGAGCTCATTTCCAATGTTCATTTGTTTCCACTCTAAAATATTTAGAAATAATTTGTAATTTATATTTTTTGCTCTCTCTCAAGTCTTCTGAGAATTTGACTAATTTTTCCTCTTTGTGAATACTATTATATTAAAATTATTTTTTTTTACTTTTCAGTGATTCTATTATACTCTATGACAGATGGCCTTGGTTAAAACAATTTGATTCTTGTATCCTATGAAAATTTACATAGTGCCAAAATAAGACCCTGCACAAATTCTGCACAAGAATTCTAATGGTTCCATTTTAAAAGTCCCATGAATTATTTATTTCATCCCTTGGCACAATCATATGAAATTTGTGCTACATATATTGCATACTTTCTCTAGATATTGGAAAGATAGTGGATATCCATGATATTTATCAGGAAGAAGTTCCAGCAGGGTACACACACATATACATATATACATATATATACATATATATATACATATATACATATATATATATATATATAAAATTCCTTTTTTGAATGCTGTTGGAAAGTTTTGCTAATTTTTCTTCTCTTTTCTTTATTGTAGCTGATGGATGCACTGATTGGTCTGTGGATATCAAGAAATATCAAGTTTTAGTGGGAGAGCCTGTTCGAATCAAGTGTGCATTATTTTATGGCTATATCAGAGCAAATTACTCCCTTGCCCAAAGTGCTGGACTTAGTTTGATGTGGTATAAAAGCTCTGGACCAGGAGACTTTGAAGAGCCAATAGCATTTGATGGAACTAGAATGAGCAAAGAAGAAGATTCTATTTGGTTCCGGCCAACGTTAGTACAGGACAGTGGTCTTTATGCATGTGTCATCAGGTATCCATTAAATTCTATTATTGTTTCACCAATGAATTAACATTCAAATAGTAATTAATAGTAAAACATGATTGATAGCACTTTCTTCTAAAGCTATTTTGGTAATATTTGTATGTTTTGCTTCTTTCTATGTTCATAAAATGGCAGGTCTTGAATTTATATTGAGGTATTATTTCTAGCTTATTGAGAAAATAGAGACCATCTGGGTACCTAATTATGTTGCCAAAAATTACTGAAGGAGATAAAATTAAATTTATAGGAGTGGTAGAATGTTGGTAATAAAATGTAAGCAAAGCTTTGTAGAAAAGGTGCACACTTTATTTCTAAATGGGATGTAACATCCTGTTATTGCCCTTCACAGATAGATAGAGCATGGATAGTTCTTTATTCAGACACATATGCAAAGATGTTTAAAGGGGTGTGCATGTGTGAATGCTTGTTGGTGTATGTGTGTGTGTATGGGTATGTGTGTGTGTGTGTGTGTGTGTGTGTTTATGAGTGGGAGGAACAGTCACTGGTGGTATGAAAATGAAAGATATGACCTCAGTAAGGATTCTTTTTGAGTATGAATTGAACTAAATGGCCACCAAATTCCCTTCCAAACCTCAAATTTGGTGATTCTTCAAATATTCCAGACAATATGTGATGCCAGGTATAAAGAGAGTAGTCACCAAAATTCTGTGTATTCTTAGAACTCAAAATAGTGGCATTAGCTCCATATCTCATGGTGTATCATGTACACCCCTCACTTGCTTTTAACAAATTATATACAGTTATGTATTTTTCTTCAGTGACTGCAACAATGCCTTCATGTTCAATTTGAAGCTTGTCACAATTTAATTCAACTTTTGACTTATAGAATTGTAAGATGTATATGCATCAGACCACTAATTTATGAGTAAGAAAGTGAAAACAAAAAAGCAGGGATGCACAGTTTGTTTAAAAAATCATATCTCATGATTTGTAGGCGTGGTTAGGAATAGAAATAAAAATTCATATAAGTAAAGAGAATTCCCCTTTTATAGGGAAGACAGTAATATATATATATATATATAATATCATGGGAAAGTAAATATAGATATAGATATAGATATAGATATAGATATAGATATAGATATAGATAGATATAAATATTGAAAAGAACTGTGCTTATGGATATTTTGAGTGTATTTAATCTTCCCCTAAGAATACCTCATCTTTTCTCATAAATTTCTCTATTTTGTTCTGGACCATCAATTAACATTTCTTAAGTACTTACTATGTGTCAGGCCCTGTACTAAGCACTGGGGATATATATATCCCCAGTGCTTAGTACAGTATTGTACTAAAATACAGTACTAGATATATATATATAGATATAGATTATATATATAGATATAGATATAGATATATAGATATAGATATATATAGATATAGATATAGATATATATATACAGTATTAGAAGTTCTGGAGTTCCATTAATAATCATTTGCCATCGCAATACAATCAAAAGCTATGATTCCACTTGTCTCACTTAACTAACACAAATCTGATTTTATTTCCAAATCTGCTGCATACCTTGAAAAATCCTTATCTCTGATTGCGCAATATGTGTAGATGTTCTTTTCTAAAATAGGTTACCCAACCCTAGTTATCTAAGATGAGAATTGAACAGAATTTCTATGTTGTTCAGAAAAAAACATGATGCATAGTAGTTGCCTAAATTTCAAAATCATGACATTGAGATTTATTACTTTGTCAAAATCAGTTATTTATATATTAATGCTCTGGGAAAGTAGAGAATGAGTTCTCTCTAATGCAGAAGTTGAAAAACTTGTGAAGCTAGAGCATCTACAATATGGTCAAACCTTTATAAGAGAACACAGGTTGAATGTTGCATATAAACAAATTCCTTAATTTTTTATGTGTATGCTATGTTGCTGGGGAATTTAATACTTTTCAGAAAGTGATGCTTTTGGCAAAGGAACTAATATGTCTAATTCAGGGAAATATTGATACAGTTTGCTGGGGTTTTTTTTTTTCAACTGAGAGAGGGATACACTATCAATAAAAGCAGGGTTTTAAATAGCATGGCTTGGTTTGAATATACAGGTTGTTTCCCTTCCCTCCAAACCCCCAGTGATAGTCTGATAGTCTCATTGACACATTGTTAGCTATTAAGCAAAATCACCATTGGCTTTACTTGAAAAGATTTGCAAAGAATTTCAGAACTTTGGAGATGCTGCCTTTCACACAATAGTTCTAGTCTAATCTTTTTTATTAAGTGCTGGAAATGGTAACTCAACAATGAAAAGAGATAACAAATGCTTTGATGGGAAGACAATGACTGTATGCAAAAGATTAAATGGCATAACTTCAGGAGGAAAAAAAAGTTATTTTCAAGGACTACTATGAGTATAGTTTTTAAATCTTCTTACCCACTAATCTCTATTTGTGTTTAATCCAATATTCTTTGCTTCTTATTCTTGCCTTTCATTTTTTAAAAGTTCATTCATTCAATAAAAATCTCCTAAGAATTTCTGCTTACAGAACACTGGTAGGCATTATAGAAGAAACTAAGCCTGGAGAGGGAATTCAATTCTAGCTTATCATACAATGCCACTATAACATACTTAATTCAATGCTACTATAGCTATAACATACAGTATTATGTAAATTTAGATGAAGAGGTTTTTTTTTTCAATTGTTGGGGTACAGGGGTCTGAATAGTAATGGGAACCATCCTTGGTTGGTAATTGAGTTGGTTGAACAATTGAAATTCATCAAAAGAAGAAGAAAATTCCATTTCTAGGAATACTCTGAGCAAAAAAAACAAACAGAGAAGAGAGTGATACAGGAAGCATTCGAGTAACAAAGAATTGTATGGTTTAACTGAAGTATGAAGTATTCACAGTGTTGTCATATAGGAGAACCTTGGAGAGGCACAATGATGTCAGATTGAAAATAATCATGGATCCTAGGCAAAGAAAGGACTTTGAACTTTAGTCAATGGGAATTGCACACTGGTGATTTTTAAACAGAAGAGCAACATGAACAAATCTCAGTAAAGGAATTTTTTTTTCTAGACTTAGTATGAAGTATGAATCAGATTATGGAGCAATTATTACTTAGCACACATGTTAAGAAGCTACTGTAGTAACCCAAGTAGGTAATAAGAGGGCCAGTGTCAGGGTAATGATTATAAAAATAGAGCAGATGGGATATAGTACAGGAGATAATATATACCAAAGATGGAATCAATAGGATTTGGTGACATGGTGGGAAAAATATTTGACTTGGTTTAGGGGAGACCTGAGTTTCAATCTTATATTTACTCATATATTTACTAGGTGTATGACTCCAAATAAGTCACTTAACATCTGAGCCTCAGTTTCCTCATCCACCCAAAGAGGATAATGACCTCATAAAGTTTGTCAAGTTCTTGTTGTTCTTCTGTCATTTCAGTCCTGTCTGAATCTTCAAGACACTATTTTGAGGTTTTCTTGGCAAAGATACTCAAATGGTTTGCCATTTCCTTCACCAGCTCTTTTTACAGATGGAGAAATTGAGGCAAAGAGGGTTGAATGACTTCCCCTAAGTCACACAACTAATGTCTGAGGCCAGATTTGAGCTTGAAGAGTCTTCCAGGTTCTATGCCCAGTGCTTTATCGACTGCACCACCTACCTGTCCCCACTGTACCATCCAGCTATTGTAAGGATCAAATACAGAAATAGATATAAAGTGTTTTGCAAAACATAAAGTTCTATACAAATGTTAGATTTTATTATTAACTGATTTAATATGATAACAATAATAACCATAACAATACTAATAGCCAACATTTTCATGGTACATTAAGGTTTACAAATCACATTGCATGTATCATTGCAGATGGTGCTCATGGTGATCCTGTGAGGTAGATACATTAGGTGTTACTGCCATCATTTTACTGTTAAGGAAATTGAGTTCCAGCGGTTTTAGTAATCTGCTCTGGGTCACAGAATTAGTAAGTATTGGATGGGGCAATTTAAACCTGGACATACTTTATTCAAAATACTTTACATAACACTATGCTGAAGTTACACCCATGAAAGAGAGAAGGTGAATGATGATGCCATAGACAGAAAAAATAATGTCAAAACAAGGAGCAGTATGTTAGTTTGTTGATACTAACAGCATCTGTTTCATTGGCCTTGTGTATTTTGCTCTATTCCACAAGCCTGATACCCATGACCTTTACTGATATCTTAAAAACACAATGAGATGAAGTTGTATGGTTCTTTCTGCCCTCACTGTAATTCAACATAACAATGTATAAGTCTTTCCCTGCCTTGACTTTCATTTTCATTCTATCTGGGAAAATGAAGAGAAGAATGTTTAAATGTTCTGCTAAGAGAACATCTGACATATTTGGATCCTGTTTAGATCCTTCTAACCTTTAAGACTTTTTTAGTTGTTGCTTATCAAAAACCTCTTAGGTGCCACAATGCACAGAGTGCCAGGCCTAGAGTCTGCAAGACCTAAGTTCAAATCTAGCCTCGGACACTTACTAGCTGTATGGCCCCAGGCAAGTTACTTAACCCTGTTTGCCTCCATTCCTCATGCACAAAATAAGGTGGAGAAGGAAATGGAAAACCACTCCAGTATCTTTGCCAAGAAAAACCTCAAATGGGGTCATGAATTGTTGAACATGACTGAAAAATGACTTGACAACAATGCTTTACAAGATGAGATAGAAAGTAAAATGATCAAGAAACTATACTTACAGAAACTTGTAGTCTAAAAAACAGAAATAATTATATACTCTTTGTGTGTCTCTGTCTATTTCCCTATTTTTCAGTGTCAGACTGTTTGCCTCTGTCCAGCTTTGTATTTGTGTCTCTCTTGTTTCTCTGGCCCTGATTTTCTCTGCCTCTTCTGTCACTCTCTGTATGTTTCTCTTTCTCCATTTAGACAGAGATAGATCGATTGATGTTAGAAACATAGAAAGATAGATAAATATATACATACAGCCATCTA